ATATGATCCTAAAATTTCTAGTTTAGACATGAATATTAAAATTGATGTCAAATTTGGATTATTATGTTTTAACTCCATTATATTAGATGTTTAGTTGGAGGATTAATTTCGATGTGGTTAGGTGATTGGTTATAGTTATGTGACAGACTTATCATATCACATTAAAATTTCAGGAAGAAAGGAATAGAGACCGCAGATGGGGTATGAACAATTGAGAGTTTGTGCAAATGAGTTAGGAAAAACTTGAGGATCTGTAATGTCGTCGCAATGGGTCACAGGTAGTCCCTCCCGCGTACTTGACTTCGCCGTCATCGCATGCCCCTCTTGCCTCATCATCGAAAACAACTTGCTCCCTCGATGTCGTCGTCGTAAACCCTAAATGAAACCAATATCCTCCTCCTTCATCCTAGTCCATCTCACACATGACGCCGATTGAAACCCTAAACCCTCACTGTCGTCACAAATGAAACTCTCACCTCCCTGTCATTGCAGATCATCTCACTTTCCTTCACCCATTTGCATAAACTCTCAATTGTTCAAACCTTAAACACATATGCGGTCCTATTCCTTTCTTCCTGCAATTTTAATGTGACGTAATAAATCTGCCACGTAACTATAATCAATCACCTAATTACATCAGAACTGATACTCCAACTAGACATCTAATATAATGGAGTCAAAAGCAGTAGTCTAAAATTGACATCAATTTCAATATTCATGTCTAAATTGAAAATTTTAAAAATTTTGGGACCACATTAAAACATTTTAATAAATAAAGGGACTAAATTACCTATTTAACCAAAACTATTTTATATAAATATTAAATAATATATAAATAAAAATATTTTTTTTAAATATAAAAATGTATTATTATATCTTTTATAAATAATAATAATTATAAAAACTATTTTTTTTCATATAATTTTTATTTATATCTTTTTTCTCTTATTTTTTATTTTTCTTGTTCCACTTTTTTCATTTTTTACACTTCAATTTTATATTTTTACCTTTTTTTTGTCACTTTTTCACTTGCATGCTATTTTTTTTATTCTTTCATCTGTATTTTCTTTTCACATTTTCATATCATAATATAAAAATTGTGACTTTTTCTCTTTAATTTTCACCTTTTTTTCTTGAATTAAATAATTTTTTTACTATTTTAGTTAACTGTTATAGCATATTACCATTATATTATTTCTTATTAATTAATTAGTTATTTTAATATTTTATGATATTTAATTTTGATATTAAAATAAATAAAAAATAAGTTGAATTTTAAAGATATTTATGAAAAAGATTATATATTTATTTTCTAAGAACAAATAAAAAATATAAGATAAAATAAATTTTAACTTACTAAATTTAAATTTAATAAATAATATTAAAATATTATTGAACAATTTATAATATAAATTATATAATAATTGATTATTTTTATAATATAAAATATCGTAAAAAATATTTAAAAAATATTTAATCATATATATATATATACATCAAAATTTTATAAATGTAAATAATATAGTAAACTAATAATTGAGATATAGTAAACTAATAATTGAGTGAATTAATTGAGATAAAATTATTTAAGTTTAATTAGTGTGTTTTGAGTTTGTAATTATATTAATATTTAGATTGAAAATTTTGTTCTATTATTTATAATAGTAATGTGAAGGTTGGATTTTTTTATCCCATAAAAAATACTTATAATTTTATATAATAAAAATATAAATAATAGTCATATCATATTACTAGCTTAAATTAATGAGAGAGTTATTGTAAATTAAAATGTTATTTTCTATCTAATTTCGTGTTTAATTTTTATGGACATAAAATAAATTATTCAAACTAAACAAATTTTAATTAATATGGTTATTGGGTAATAATACATGTTGCGTAAAAATTAGATAAGATAAATAATATATAAGAGAAAAGAATTATAAATATTTAATATTTTAGATTAAAAATGATGTGATATTTTTTTTATTATATGTTGGTTGATGATATTTTTAAATGAAATAGATTTCACATTTATTTCTGGTTAGTTGTGGAAAGTCAAAATATTTATAGGTAGAGTTATAATGCTATTATTTAGGGTTTAATAATGGAGTCATGAACCAAAAATTTTCAAACTATTAATGAATCTACTATAAGTTGCATGCTAATTAGGGTTGCATGCAGAGCTTAAAATAATTTGAGGGACACATTAATATTTTTTAAAATATTTTGGGCACATGAAAGGTTTGTTGGGGTATTAGGAAATAAGAATGATATAAACTCATTCCTTTAAATATTTTATTAATAGGTTTAGATATTTATTTAATTAATAATTGCATTTTTGTTTTTTCCCCTAGTTGAATTGTAATTAAAAATAATAAATAAAACACGGGTAGATTTATTGAGAGAGTTAAAATTATTAATTATTTTAATCTCAAATTTTAAAGTTGATTGTTATGAAAATCACGTAATCCAATGAGGGGAAGAGCAACATGCTTTTTGTTTGGATAAGCGAAACAACACGACACTCCGACAGCGATGCATTGGACACGGATGGAGGAGGGAGACAAATTCCTTAAAAGCCTTCAACGCTAAGATTATCATCACATTCGCACGCCATGTCTAACTATTCTCGTCAAATAAAATGGAAAGGTGTGGTATGTTCTTACAAAGTTTAAGGATCATCCCAGTAAACTTCGTTATTCAAATTCTAATTCATTTATTCTTAAAAAAACGCATTAATAATAGATTAAATATATTATTTAAGAGATTTGTAAAAATATAACTTTTCTTTTTACCCTTTTACACATTATTTTACTGTTGTTAATTTAATAAAGAGTCCTAAGATATTTTACTTATAATTTTATTATCTTTTTTATTTTAAATTTTAAAATAAATAACTTTTTAATTTCTTTAATTTTAAAGATTTTTTTTTCAAATTTACTATTTATGGATTATTTTCTTTTATTTTTAATTTTTTTGATAATTTAGAGAGCTCAAATTAAAATTATTTTTAAATTTAAACACTAAAAATATAGTTAAGCCTTATTTATTTATATTAATTAATATATAAATTAAGTAAAAAATAATAATATAATTGATTAAAAATGTAATTTTATTTTAATTTTAAGAATAACATTTAACTAAAAGTAGAAAATCTTTCATATTTAGTTGAAAAAAAGAAAAACTTGTTTATTCTATTGATAAAATGAATAAACTATTGATTATTTCTTCTAAATCATCTTTAAATTAGTCAAATTATATAAAATTTTTAAAATATTATTAATTTAGTTCTTAATATATTTTACTAATATTTAGAAATTTATTTGGTCCATTATTTAAAAAATTCCTTATGTAATGATAGAACCACTTTAAATTATAAAATTAATAATTTATTTTCGATAAAAACTGGAAAATAGTATGCTATTCTCAAATTTTGGTTGGTTAAATGAAGGGTTATTTTCACATAATCATGTTCAGAACATTGTGTAACATGAAGGGTTTATTTTATTTTATTTTTCCTAAAAATTAAATTAATTTACATAAAAAAACAATTTCTTTATAAATTAAAATGAGCTTAAATATAAGATCATTTGTAGAAACGTTCTATATAACTTATTCATTTTTTTTAAAATTTATATAATTAAATATTAATTTATAGAGAATGCTGTTTTTTTTTTCGAAAAATATTTGTAAAAAAAAATATTCAAACACGTTAAAAAAATTTTGTATGTTTATAAAGAAAATATATTTCGGATTTAAAAAGATACATATATTATTCCATATTTGAAAGAACATTAGTATTTTTTTAAAACTAATAAATACAATATATTTTTATTTGAATAAAATAGTTAAAAGTTTTTTTATTCCTGTATCAAAATAAATATACAACGTAACTTAATAATTAGATGAAAATTAAGATTATAATATAGTTTAGTTAATGTTACGTTAAACTATAAAAAATATATTTAAATAAAAGTAAAAATCAAATCTTTAAAACTTATCAGTTAAAAACAATAATAAAATTAGGAGAAACACAAATGCATTTAAGTTCTAAACCAAATATAAGAGTGTTTTTAGAGTAAACAAAACTGAAACCTGTAGTAACTGAGAAATTAGAGGCTTATTACGTTACCAAAAACAATTTCAACAGGTCAAGGTGCATTTTGTTTCAGGAGAAAATAATAGATTATTTATTATTATAATTAAAATTTTTGAGACAAATCAAATTTAAAGAGATTCATTTTACTATAAACTCCTCTCGTTGACAGAAGATCTTAACGTGAAACAAATTCTGATGAACAAAAACTCATTTATTTGTTTTAGGAGAAAAATAATACATCATTGTTATTATAAACTGAAACTGATTTTATTACATGTGATGTGAGAAGCCACGTGGGATCTTCTGTAGTTTTCTTAACAAAGTGAGGTACTACTTTGCTGGGCGTGCTTGGCTACTTCATTCAAAGAAAAAAGATTCTTTTTTTTACCATAAAAATTCTCTCTCATGCTTCAATAATACCACTTTCTCTCTCCTTCTCTCTATCTCTACTCACCCGTTCCTCCCTTTCTCTCTTTACTCTTTGTGGAAGCAGCAAAGCTAATTGGCAAAAAGTTTCTGCAATCCAAAGAGATCTGGTCTTTGCTTTTCTGCTTGGCTTTTAATTCTTCAACTTTGTTACTTTCTGAGAATTTCCATCCGGGGCCTTCACTTGCAACTTTCCGTAGTTGTGATCTTGCTTTTGTGTCACCATTTACCCTTTATGTTTTAACTAAACTTCTTTACTGTGGATGGACCAGTCTTGTGCTATCAAAATCTTTTCAGTCTGTGGTTGAACTGTTATTCAGATTCTGCTATTTTCAGCATGCAAGCCTTGGATTTCCAGGGCTGGTTGCAGAATCAATCAACAAACTTTGGGGTTCTGATTTGATATACTTCCAAAAGAGCATATATTTTGATTTCTCTACTGGTGCTGATTCTGGTTATCTTGGTCCGGTTTTTTATGGAGTTGATGGGGTGTGGAAGGTTTAGGGGGTGCCTTGTTCTTGTGTTGTTTGCTGCACTGTTGGTGGGTCTAGTGAGTGGAATTGGTGTTAACTGGGGCACACAATTAACACACCCTTTGCCATCGTCCACCGTGGTGAAAATGCTGAAGGACAATGGTATTCAGAAAGTTAAGCTTTTTGATGCTGACCCTGATATTTTAGATGCTCTAAAGAAATCTGGGATTCAGGTGATGGTGGGTATACCAAATGACATGCTCTACACATTGGCCAACAGTATGCAAGCAGCTCAAAAATGGGTTTCCAAGAATGTTTCAGCACACATCTCATCTGGGGGAGTGGACATCAGGTAATTTACCCTTTTGTTTCTATTGACTGATTTATGTTGAGTTCTACCATTGCATTAGCAGCTCACAACATTGGGTATGAATGCATGTAATTGATTTCTTCAGCTATGAAATTCTGCATTTCATGCTGTGGATGGACTCTGTTAAAGCTATGAGTTTGGAGGTTTTGTTAAATACTGTGTTATCTGATTCAATGCTTTTTAGAAGTAATGGTGTAGAGCGATTATAGAAGAAAGCATTGCAACTGTAAGAAACTTTCAAATGGTAGAAATTACTCGTCTTTCCTTGATGTACCTTTAGGGAAATACTTGGCGGAATTCTTTCCAATGTGTTTGGAATCATCAAAAAGTAGAATTGATGTGATTTTGTTTAATAGAATTTGGTTTGATTAAGAAACCCATTATAGTTTATTTGATTTAGAAATCAAATCTGATCAAGTTTGACTGATTTTCTATATGGACCCAAGGTAAAAGGAATAATGAGTTCTTTGGGTAGTTATCTCTTCTCTTTTCATGAATGGTATTCTGTCAATCTCTGCAAAACATGGCATGCCCCTTGTTTCTTCATCGTTTTCAAATGAATAGATCATACTATTTAAAACTATGGTGTTGGTGTTCAACCATCATTTTTGTAATACGTGAGGTAAGATGAGTGGTTGTTCTTCTTTGGTCCATATTATCCAACATGAGAACTTGCATAACATTTCACTCTAATTGAACAGGATTTTATGGTCAGTCCACTGCCATGTGGCATCTCTGATGAATTCGCCAGTCCTGGATGAGTAATATTATGCATGTTGCCTTCATAGATATACTTTCTTCCAATATGTGTACTGCTAATGATCCTTTTCTTGAAATTACTCTTGTTTTGACTTATTAATCCGTGGCCAATGTTTGATGACACAAGGACATAAAAGTAAAGAATGATTTATGAAATATCTCTTGCATTTGTAAAATTAAATGTTTGCAATGTCTTCAAAATTTTCAGAGGTTTAGTGTAGTAAGATCTCATATAGAGTTAAGATTGAGATATATGCCTTCTGAAGGAGAAGAATAAAGGGAACCCGTGTCTTTGACTTCAGAAATGATTATTGACTATTCATATGTCAATGCTGCAATTCATATATTTTCTCAAACAATATTTCTTGTAATTTTTTCAAGGTATGTTGCAGTGGGAAATGAACCTTTCTTGTCAACTTACAATGGTTCATTTAAAACCACAACCCTTCCAGCTCTTCAAAACATTCAATCAGCTCTTGTGAAAGCTGGTTTAGGGAATCAGGTTAAAGTCACTGTCCCTCTAAATGCGGACGTGTATCAGAGCGCACAAGTACCTTCTGATGGCGACTTCAGGCAAGACATCCATGATCTCATGGTGCAGATTGTCCAGTTCTTGAGCCAGAACAATGCTCCATTTACCGTGAACATCTATCCTTTCATTAGCCTCTATGAAGACCCCAATTTTCCTGTTGATTATGCCTTCTTCAATGGCTTTCAATCCCCCATAAATGACAATGGAAGGATCTATGACAATGTCTTCGACGCCAACCATGATACTCTCGTATGGGCGCTGCAGAAAAATGGTTTTGGAAACATGCCTATAATTGTAGGAGAAGTTGGGTGGCCTACAGATGGAGACAGAAATGCAAACCTTGAATATGCGCAACGGTTTAACCAAGGGTTCATGTCGCGCTACATCGCCGGAAAGGGGACACCAATGAGGCCTGGTCCTATGGATGCTTACTTGTTCAGTCTCCTAGATGAAGATAACAAAAGCATTCAGCCAGGTAATTTTGAAAGACATTGGGGTTTGTTTTACTATGATGGACAACCCAAGTATCAGCTTAACATAGGATCAAGAAATGGCTTAGTAGCTGCAACTGGGGTAGCATATCTAGCAAAAAAGTGGTGCATCTTGAAACCCTCAGCAAACCTCAACAGTGACCAAGTGGCACCAAGTGTGTCTTATGCTTGTCAAAATGCAGATTGTACAAGCCTTGGATATCAAACTTCATGTGGTAATTTAGATGCTCGTGGTAACATCTCTTATGCATTCAATAGCTATTACCAAGTGAATGACCAGATTGACAGTGCATGCAAATTCCCTGGTCTTTCTGTTGTCACTGACAAAGATCCTTCAACTGGAGATTGCAAATTCAAAATCATGATTCAGACAGATTCTGCTGTCCTACATGGGAATGGGAGAATTTGGCATCTCAGAATAGTACTCTTGTTATGTTTGTTTTTCACTCTTCTGTCACCCTGAAAGATTCTTGGTTTTTAGTTTATATTATTTTTGAAGCAGTACTTCATTTCATTTTTCATATTCAACATGTGGGTTGGAACTAACATGTGAAAAGCTTGTTGAAGTTACCAACATTTGCTTTAAAGTGACTTTTGGTACTGGAATCTTTCATTCACAAGGTATTGTTTTGGGATGAGATTCTCTAGAATTGGATTTTTGGTTTGGTTTTTATTTATCTTTTTCAAAAATCATAATTTATCAAGTTACAAAGGTTTGTAATATTTCACTCCATTATCGTGTACAAAAATTCTTACTCGTTCATATTTTAATATTCTCAGATTTTTTTAAAGAAAATCATCTCTTCTTTTTTTTTTTGTAAAAGTCATTTGATTTTTTTTTTAACATTTTGAAAAGGTAATAATATATATATATATATATATATATATATATATATATTATAAAAAATTGGTTAGACTAATTTTGATCCATTAAGTATTAAAATAATCTATTGGATTTTGATAAATAATTGACGATATATTAAATATTCATAAAATTAAAATACTTGTGATTAATATTAACTAAAAATAATATGGATAGATGTTAATAGAAAAAAAATTGTTGTCAACCGTAAAATCTATGAAGATTTTATCTAAAAAATAATATTAATTAATATTAGCATAAAAATATTATTAACTTGTGTTTTAGAATTATTATATTCTGTTTAGTATTGAATAAATTTGTGTATTTTATGATAATTAAAATAATTTATCTAAATAAAAAATAAAATATAATAAATTTAAATTTTTCTCAAACAGAATATTTAAAAAATAAAATAATCTGAAACAAAAACAATTTGAATTTAATATATTTAAATATTTTTAAACTTATAAGATTTTCTATGCAAACGGATGATTTTAATGGATTAAAACTTATAATTAATTTATTAAAATATCTCGTGTCAAAAATATTTTAATGAATTCATTTAAATTTTAATAGATTAATCCTATAAATTATATATATATATATATATATATATAGAAAATATTAAAATAAAAGTTTAATAAATAATTTAAAGATAAAAGGAAAATAAACATAAAAATTTAGAAGCTACTTTTTAATTTTTTTTATTGGACAAATGTTAATTATGACTTTTCTATTTTTTTAGTTAAACATCATTACAAGTTACAGTACGAGTTTATTTTAAAGATAATTTTTAATTACACCTTGTTAACTTATTTTAATTAAACAATATTTGGTAAGGTAACATATTTTTAGTTAGAATGTGTTATATGTTATAAGTTTATTCCATTTTAAATTATAATATTTAAAAAATTTTCGTTGAGTGTATATATGTAATTTGTTCATAATTCATTAACTCATTTCTCTTTAATTTTTTTTATTTCCAAACTACAAGTAAAAATAATAAGTAAATACACTCTATTCATCACCTTAATCTTGAAATTTTATAATTCGATATACGTTCATGCCTCCGATTAGAAATTGAGGTCAATAATAATTTATATATAATCTTGTCTTTTAACCTACAAAACATTTTTTTAAAGAGAACAGACAGAGATAAACAACGTTTTCTTGATATTTTAAAATAATTGACATATTTTATGCATTATAGAAATGTTTATTATTAGAAATATAATTTATTTATGATAGAGGTGGTATACGTAGATGAATAAGTATGAATTGTATTATGATGAATTACTCGAGTTAAGACGAAGCAGAGTGGTTTTAATACCAAGATGCATGACAGTGTTATTAGAAATATTGGATTCAGATATCTGAAGTAAAGTCTCAGTTTTAGTACTATGAACAGGAATAAATGTTGCTAGAAATAAAAACTTATTAAAAATGGTTAATTTTAGGTGGTTAAGATCGTTCATTGATCAAAAGAGGCAGAGAGAAGTTGACATTACCATTATTATCGGCATTTTTCTCTCTTTGGTTTAAACAACTGAATTCTAATGTATTTTCCCTAATTTTTCAAATTTTCTGATATTCATGACATCGATTTTTCTTGCTGTTTCTGTATCGGATTGGAGCAGGTTCATTTCTAACACCTTTTCTATGTTGTATTATTGTTGTGGCATGCAAGACAATATGACATTCATCTTTTGGTAACATGCATGGCTTGAATAATGAATGTAGAAAATTTAAAAGAGATGGGTCTTTTGGCTTATGAGATGACAGTTTTCAATATGGAAGAGATAATGATTCATGTTTGTATGTTGGAAAGGTGTATGTTGATAAAGATATTTATCAAAGGAAATTAGACCAAAAATCACTTTTTGTTAATAGTACCAATTCTTCTCTTTTAAGTTTCACTGTCATCATATTCAAATCCTTTAAAGTTTTATGTTTGATAGATTGTAATTTTATTGAATACTATCAACATTTTAAATATCCAACTTTTACTTTCCAGGAACAAAAATCTACCAGGTTTAGTTGTATGTAAAGTTCTTCTCTTCTCACTTGTTATAGTATAATTTGACCAAAATCACTTTTTGATGTTTATTGTGGCTAAGGTTCTGAGCAATTGAAAATGGGAAATCGGAAGACAGAAGAAGAAAGGATTGAAAAAGTAATTCGGAGCCTTCTAAAACTCTCCGAAAATAGAAGATGCATCAACTGCAATCTTTTGGTATAAAACTATTCTTTTGAAATTAGGTCTTGGATTGGTCTGGAAAAATTACTTTTCATTGCTCTCCATGACTAAACTAAATTTTGTATAAGCATAAAATCAAATCTATCACTCTTGAAGGCATTGAAATGTGATTTTTAATTTTGAAGAGTAACTCAACTATGCAAGAAAGGGAAGATCATTATATACATATTTAAAAACAACAAAAATTAAAAATTTTTGGAGTAAGGTCTTTACAAAGCTTGTTTAATATCTCTGATTCATATAATTCAGATCTCACCTTAAAATCAAATAACTTATAAAGAAAAACTAAAAAAAAAACTTAATATTTTAAGGTTTGCGTTGAAGATGATATCGTATTCTTTCCATGAGTTTAAACATGTGTTTGTGTAGGCACACATGCATGTAACATTTTCAGATGACAGTGTATCTAAAATAACAAGTATTCTTATGAATCAGGGACCGCAATATGTGTGTACAACTTTCTCCACATTTGTCTGCACAAATTGCAGTGGCATACAGTAAGCAAAGAAATCATTTTCCTTTGTTTCTGTTTCTTACATATAGATGTTTCTATTCATGTACAAACTATTATTCTTCTTGCTTCATTTCACTGTGCACGTTTAACTTTATTTGAATATTGTTTGTGATTGAGTTTTGGTTTAGAGGAATGATATCAACTCTTGATAGCAAAATAAAGCTTTGATTTTTCTATCATTGCTGAAGTTATTTTTGTGATGTATGAATTACAGTCGAGAGTTTACCCACAGAGTAAAATCTGTCTCAATGGCTAAATTTACTCAAGAAGAAGTCACTGCTCTTCAAGCAGGTGGAAATGAGGTATGCATGCAATTTTCTGCTCAAATTTCAAGTCACCGGTAATTTGGCCATAAATATGTAACATTATCCTCCATGCACAGAGAGCAAGCCAGATTTATCTTAAAGAATGGGATCCTCAGTGCAATTCTAAACCAGATTCCAGGTTTTGCATCTTTGCTAGAAAAGTGAAAGAAGAGTTTATAATACTGTCATAAGTTCGTAAATTTCTCCATGATTCAAAAATTTATTTCACTTTTCTTTTTATTTTGTTCTAAATATTTACAGAAATGTTTATCCAAACAAGATCTTCCAAACATCTCTTGTATACAATATAAACAAGCTTTCACTTGATAGGATCGAACAAGTTCTTAGTTATGCTATGTATCCACATACTTCCTTTTAGTAGCAGTTCATCTATCATCTCTTCTAATTCAAATCTTTGCTTCCAGTGATATACAAAAACTTCGAGAATTCATTAGGAAAGTGTATGTAGAAAGAAGATACAGCGCTGACCATAGCAGCAGTAGTGGTCTTTCGAGGATTAGATTGGTAACTTTAGTATACTCTTCCTCATCTATAATCATGACTTTAGCGACCAAAATATGACTGAAACTGAGTTCATTTTTGGTGTTTTTTTGCAGACTGAGAAGGAGTCTGATGCAAGTAAGAGGAGTAGTTCATTTCGTTTAGAGCTCATAAGTCCACATTCAAGTCCTGGACCAAGAAGTGAGGATAAGAATTTGAGATTTTTATATGATGAAAGCAGAAGCCCCAGATATGCACAAAGGTATGCAAGGCATGGAGGCCAAGTCAGAAGTCCTATTCAAATTGAAGTTGTTGATGACAGGTTCCGAGACGATGAACGTAGAAATCGAAGGATTTTGAATATAGAAGCAAAGCTAAAGAAAGTTTCAACTGATGATCAGAAGAATGTGGACAGATCCCAACTCCCTGTTGTACTTCCTGTGGGTGAAGTGTCAAGGGAGAAAGCTCAACCTCCACAAGTAGGTAACACTATCAAATGCTTTTGAATATTTGTTTGCTTTGATTATACTTTTGGTTCTCTATGTATCATAACTATATAATTTTAAAGTACTAACTATGTCAACTGATATCCTAGTTATTACAAAAGGTTTGATTTTAGTATTTTAAGTTTGTGTCAGTTGGGTCTCTGACTACCATAGTTGTGCAATTGTAATCTTCCAGACATGCATGTTACAAATCCCTGAATCTTTGACATTTTTTTATGGAATAGATCAAACATTCGGGTGGCAAGGGTTCTGTTGAGGAAAAACCATCTGAACGAAACAATAATATTCCAGAAACACCACCACCTACAACACAATCAAATGAAAGTAACTGGGCCATATTTGACGCTTCAACAGAGAACAATGATCCTAAAATTCCAGAAACAAATACCTCTAAACCTTCTACAGCAATGGTAGCATCTGAACCACCAGCACCTGCAAAAAATCCCATAGACCTTTTACTTTTTGAATTGTCAGGCCCTGTGGCTCCGGTGACCAGTGGCATGCCACAAGTTCCAAGTAATGTTAATAATGATTCAACAATAACAACAGTACAAAATGCTATTACTTGGGACTTTCCACCCACTTCAACAGGGAACACAACTGCATCATCCAACAATACTAGTGTTTGGCCATGTGCATCAACCCCAGCCACTGACACAGCACAACCTTCTAATGAACTTCCTCCACATACGGAAGTTTCACATGCACATAATCCATCAAGCATGCAATATCTTCCATCTATATCGGTAGGCTTTAATTCAACCACACAACCAACAAATTCACTAGTCAAAGATGTAGCTTCAACTAATCAGGTGAGATATGCAGCATGACTTTCTTGATATTAAGTATTGAAATCTCAACATTACTATCAATTTCTTTGGTAATGAGGTATTGGAATCTAGCACATACCATTATTTCACCCTTTAACAGGAAGCAACATTATCAATTGAACTTTCTACTTTTATAGTAAAGGTTTAACATGTTAAACATCTCAACAAATAAAAGTTACACCAATTTTGTCACACATTAGAGTATTCTTAAAAAAAAAAGAAAAAATCATGCGGAAATAAACCAATACAAAAGCAAACCTAATGAAAAGAATATTGTCTAGTTACTTAGTTACTCATCTTGTTCTTTAATTTGATTAGACACGGCCATCAGTAGCTCCTTGCGGAAATGATTCTTCATGGTCTTTGACTGAATTATCCTCTCAAACTACCTCAAAACCCACTCAAGAAACCAGACCTGATGTTGGCTCCCAGCCCAGTAAAGTGGAAATTTGGGCAAGTGGAAGACAGGAACTACCAGAGGTAACAGATGTAGCCATGTCATAAATTTCTTTGTTTTTAAGATTAAAAAAAAAAAAAGATTCATAAATACTTTCTCTGCAGGACCTTTTCATATCAAGCTTTTTATCTGGCCCAGCACCACTTCCAAGTTGGCAGAATGTTCAACCTCATGGCATGGGATATGGCATGCAGTATTATCATAATGCAGCGGTACCATTCTATACAACTTTTCAAACTTGTCTCCTCTCTTGGTTTAGATATGAATTGGTGATTAACTAATATGGTGTTTCATTTACAGCCTCCCCCTGCCCTTTCAAATTCACCAAAGTCCACAAACCCCTTTAATGTAACTGATGGGAGAAGTATAATCCATGCTTCATCGGTAAGCACAGCATTAAACTGATACAATGTAGTAAGTTTTGTAAGAACTCAATTGTAGGCTGTTCTGGTTTTCTTAGTTATTTTAGCTTATTTGTGCAATCAACCTGAAACTTCTGATACAAATCAAAGCATAGAGTGAGAAAGAAACAACACACAAGTTGGAAAATGAAAACAGTTTTTATGTAATTCAGAGCCATTAAGGTGAAACAATCACACAACTGCATACAAGTCCAGCTTGTGTTATTTAAATTATATCTTTGAATGAAGCCAATAAATTGTTTTAACCTTCCACAACTGGTGGTACTTTTCTATGTATAGCTTCCCTCTATAGCATGTGTGCACGGTGCACCACCAGTTGTATCATCACCCAGAACAGGATTGATACATACTACAAGTCTCGGGTCTTTGGTGTCTCAGTCCCCAAGTTATACATCACCAGTTCCAATGGGTATCTATTGCTATTGTTATCTTCCATTTCCTTTGAACATTTTTTCTTTATTTTTGGTTGTTTTCTGTTCACTTTTTTCAGGTATGTACTTTGATCAAGTTAATAATGAGAAGCGACCCACTAGGTAAATCCTGTTTTGTTATTATTTTGGATTACTTATATTATAGTCACTTGATTATAAGCTATAAAGCATGTCATCAAGATAGATTTTGTTCATTAAATAGTACATGTTATTTCTTAGTATTAGAAATAAGAAAAAAAAAATGTGATTAGTATGCAAGACAGGTTTTGTGAGATTTTCTAACACCCTTTAAAAGATATTTGCCAAATCAAATTTGATCAAAAAGTAAAAAATTAAAAACATATCTTCTCTAACTATTCCCTAAAAGAGAGACTTCAAGAAAATAAAAACATCTTAATGTAAAGAAACAATAGTTTCTATGTTCAACAGAACATCAACATTTACTTTCCATTTTCCAGATACTTTGTAGTCTGCCTATCTATACGAGGCATGCTAACATCTTAACCAATTCATTTAATCTCATTGCATTAGGAATAACTTATCTTTACTACTTCAATCTTTTCCAAAATCAAGTAAATCAAATAATAGGCAGATGACTCCTATAGTAAAACTGCACCACAATATGTAAGGGATATTTTGGGTGATAGTTGAAATTGCTGGATGTAAGTTTACAAAGTTACCCTCCAAGGCTATTTGTAAAGTATTATTGCAGATTTTTTTGTTGAAAAGAACGAAGGTAACTATGTTTACCAATGTGAGTTGTTCTTAGAAGACTCCATGCTTTTTCTCATGAACAAATACCACCCTTATGCTTATACTGTCAAATTCTCTGTCTTTCTGCATATGTTCAATGCATAGGTGATATTCTCAGTTGAAAATGTTAATCCTATTGTAAATATAACTGCAATTTAATCTTTTGTAGACCACAGAGAGTTGAAAGCTTCAATGGTGAGATAACTGGTTTTGGATCTATAGACCCTATTCAACAGTCAAATAGAGGATTCATGACCTCCCAAAGAACAAATTCTTTTTCCAATACAAGTGGAAACCCATTTGACTAGTTTAAACAATTTGCCCACTGAACCTTCTGCCTTATGTCAACCACAAAAATTGGAGTGTGACTATGATCCTCTCATTCTTGTGCCAACAAGTTCACTTAGTTTCCTTTGTAGATTGTAATGTAAATATAAAAGCACATATATTTCCGAGTGCATCCAGAAAACTTTACACACAGATAAATATGACAATGCAACTAATAAACTGACTAAACTGTACAATGCAGACCTACAACTTTTGTACATAACAATACAAGTCAAATATTTTCTTTACTCATCATGAGAACACTTAGGGATCTCTTTTACTATATTTATTGCTGCAGAATATAGACCTTAGTGATGTTTATTTGATTTCCTTAATTCTTAGAATAAGACCTTGAACTTACATATATGTTGAAAGTTTAACATGAATTGGTTTATGAAAACATTCCATTCAAATTACCATAGTGCAGATATTCATATTTTGAGAATATAATATCAGCCTTTTTGCATAATAAACTACGATTTGATGTAACTATATGACAAGCATAACAATTTTACAGTATTCTAATGATATGCTTCTTAAAAGAAATTCGATTTTAGGGAAAAGGACTGCCACTGCAAAATCTGTAGTAGCCTCTCTGTTTGATACTCATTCATGGCCATGATAATTGAAGTGTAACACTCAGACCTAATTATTATATCGAGCTCTAGTGATTTATGGATGAATCTAGGTGTATCTATCTACCTATATCTATATAAATCTAGAAAAGCTAAAGTGGGAACAATGGATCCTCCATACCATTTAAACTTTTGTCTTTCATTTTTAAGCCACATAAATAAGCCAAGTTTAGGTATTTTTAACTTGTCTTTCCTTCTCTTTTCAATTTTTCTTACTTTCACCATATTTTGTCAATGTTCCCAGTAACTTTTAACTACAATTACTTTTTTTCTTTTAATACTACTTCTCAACTCCTTTTGATAACTTTCTTTTCACCTTTTTCAACAAAGCAACCATTTAGATTTGCCTAGCACTTTCCATTTTTTACTGATTGTTCTGTTGAACTTGACTCAAGCTAGAATTGAAAGAGCTTTCTGAATTGATCTTACTTTTGATCAAGACATTCACCCTAAATCATGTCCTACTCAAACTTTAGGATAACCATTGGCTTCTTTATGTTTAAGGGTCACATTGCATAAACTTTCCCTGTTACCAAACGGTGTCAATGTGAATAAAAGTAAGGTTATTGTGAAGAAGAGAATATGCTTTGAGAGCATCCACTTTAGACTTGGCAAAGTTTTTAACCTTTTCAACTCTTGCCCCTTGGGTAAGGATAGAAGAATATTTTTTAATTAAAAACTTACAATAATTTGGCACAAAATGAATAAGAGGACCAACCATGTTTTACTCCTCCAAGTGGGTTCTATGGATCATCTCATGTGACATTTTTGTCCACTAATATCTCAACCCTAATGAAAAACAAGAGACATGGGATTTTGATGGTGAATATTTGGACTTGAGAAAATCTAAGTTAAAATCTCACTTGAGAAAATCTAAGTTAAAATCTCACTTGAGAAAATCTATATATACCGGTTGCACAAATAATTACACACTTTCCATAGATTTAATGATTATTAAATATTTTAATATTTCCATAATACCAATTAAGTAGTGTCACATAGTTGATAATGTATCCAATTAAATTTATTGTGAGGTAAAATTAACCACACTGTTAAATATTATAATAATTTTATAACATTACTAATCATATTTCTCACACATGTTTAATATGTTTTCTAGATAATTATCACTGATATAATATAAGAGACGAAGCAATAGATAAATGTTAAATTAGAAAAAATATTATTCATGATAGTTTCAACCTAATATCAATTAATTATATATCAAATTTGACATTTCTCTGATAAGTTTTTTATGTGTCAAATTACATGTTATTATGATAATTTCGTTTGTCTAGGAATGAAAGTATTTTGACCTCACATAACATAGTTAAAATTAATTTTCATGTTCGACGTATTATCCGTTTTGGAGTTCTTGTTTATCATAGTTTTATCCTTAAATTGGTAAGTTAAAAGATGAGAATATATATAAACTACCTTTGACCTCAACCCTAAATTTAGCGATGTGGGATTATAAGTGTAATTGAACATAACCCTCACTCGAAGACTAAGGGATATGAATGGAGTCAGACTCTACTCTCAATCTCATAGTAATGGTCATCAATGTTCCATTTAGGAATGAGAGTGTTTCAGTCTCATGTCTGCTATCATAATATCGTTAGGATTAATTCTCGTGTCCGAGATAAACTTAAACAGATTAGAGTTCCAAAACAGACAATATCTCGAACAAAAAATTTGATTTTAACAATACTATTATAATTAACAGGAACACACTCGTTCTTAAATAAAATAAATACTAATTACACTTTTAATAAAAATAGTATAATAACCAATTAATTAAGGAGATGTATGAAATAAATAAAAAACAAAGGAAATATGATTTTCAACATATTCTCTCATATGAAAAATAATTATGATTTTTAATACACTATTACTCAAAAAAATAATTTAACAAAAATAAGATAATAAATAATAAAATCCCACAATATATATATTAATGAAAAAAGTTGTGTTAATCATAAATGTCTTCGATAGAAAAAAACGAGAGTAGTTCTTTCATATACACTAGATGCAATAAAGTTAACATTAAGTGGATGAACCGAACACCGTGGTAATCTGGCTCATTGGAAGATATGCCACCACTACTTTATCAAACGATATGTTCATTCATAACATATTCCATAGGGCTATTCTTATCATAAAACTTTTATCTATTCTTATTCTTCATCTTCACTACCTCAACATGTTATTGGGTGTGAAAAAAAAAATGTTTACTCTCTTCTCTTCATCATTGACAACCCATAACATGAAAACCACTTTTGATTAGGTTGGAAAATAATTTAGAGTTGAAACTTTAAGCAAACAAGTGGAAAGGTGAAAGAAAATGAAATATGAGTAATGGTAGTGGTTAATTCCTTATGGTTTTTGCAACCCTTTTCAAAATGCGAATTCCATATATTCCAACATTTATTCTGAACGCAAATTCAAATTCTTCTTCATCACAATAATAAACGTCCATCCTACCAAACAAAGAATTTTTGTCATGGATTCTGTTACTGTGAAACTTATATATATATAACATGTTAAGACAACTTTTTCTCAAAAAATTTAGAATATAAAAAATATAAATTTAAAATTTAAAATTAGTTGAATATAAATGAAAAAAATCAATTTTTATTCAAGTTAAAATATTAGAAATATTTCGACAAATTACTTTATATTAAGTTAGTTTTGAATCTTATGGATAAACTTATTTTACTTTTGAGTCTTTGTATTTGGTTCTTTGTAATTTATTTATTTTTACTATATTGATCCTTGATCATTTTTGTCTCGTGTTGATTGTGGTAATTAATTCTCAAGTTACATTTTAGATTGAGCAATATTTGTTTATTTTTCCTTAAATACAGTTTTATTCCTTAATAATAAATATACTAATTTACTTTTCGTTCCTCGAATAATTTATTTTTTCATATTAATAATTAGAATTTATGGTTTAGGGTTTTTATATATAATTATTGTGTCAAAATATTAATAAAAATATCTAAGTTAAATATTAAGGATTTAGTCCAAATTTTAATTTTATACTGTTTATTATATATGCAAAAGTGATAAGATAATGAATTTAGATGTTTTATCGAAAAGTTCATTTCATTAATGGTCTACTATTTCTTATAAATGTTTTATCCATCATTGAAACATTACGTATTAAATTATTATGAAATGAAATTTTATTTTTATGGATAATATTAAAACAAATGTAAAATTACAACTTAAATAACACTTACTAAAGAAAAAAATAGTTACACTTAATTAACAACGCTAGCTGAGAGGTTCATTAAAATCCCATAAACATCATAACAAAAACAGGTACTAAGTTGTGATTAAGCAGACATAACACTCGTGAAACTCATCCTGCTGATTTATTTATTAGTTATACAGATTATACAGCAACCTAAAATATGTTACATACATGCTCTTTTTGTTCAGAGTTGTTGGGTGCTTTTATTCACCCATATGTTACAAAATATTTTATCACTAGTCCAATTCCTTAGCCTAAGAAGCACATAAACAACCATTCCACACAAAAAACCAAGAGCTGCACTTGATCCCACCAGAGAAAATGCAGTGCAAACAAGCATCACAAATGAATCTTCTTTGCTGTTAATGTCCCTACAGCAGGTGGCTAATTCAATGCCAGCAAAGAGCAGCAACACCCCCAAGATCCCCACTGGAAACTGCCTTAAAATGTGTGCCAAAGAACTTCCTAACACCAATCCCAATAACAACTTGGCAGCACCAATAAGTGCCACACAACCCCCACTCCTTCCACCAAATTTATACTGCCCTGCAAGTCCTCCAGCCCCATGGCAGCATGGCATGGCACCAAACCAACTGCCAACCAAATTCATCAGCCCCACACTCATTGAAAGGGAAGTGGCAGAAAAGTCCTTTTCTGGAAACAAATCCTTTGACAATTTGCAAACAGCTATCACAGAGTTCAAGATTGACAATGGAAGTTGAGGAATTGTACCCTTCACAAAACCTTTCTTCCATGCATGCTTAGAGAACTTCACCACTTCCATGGCCGAAGGTCCAAACTTTATTTCATGCACCACCTCAGGCCTCTTTGCAAAGGCCAAAACAACACCCAACACAAACACTATGAAAGCAGAAGGAAGTGAGAAGATAACCCTTCTCACTCTACTTCTCCTGTTTCTTCCACCCTCAACCCTCTTTTCGCAACCCAAATTATCTCCACCATGAGTACTTTCACACCCTTGATCAACACCACTCACAATAACAATAAAACACAAACAAACTATGGCCAGAACCAACCCATCTAACCCTAGCCAATGCCTATCACCCAAAGCCTTAGATTTTTTCAAGTCTTGGATTTTTCTCATGTACTTAACAGCTGTGAAAGCAAAGGACAAACCCTGTGCTAGTTGAATTCCCCTCACAACAGATAGAGGAATCATTGTGTACACAAGCTGCATCAACCTAGTCACACCTAGAACCAGCAACACGCCGCCGGTTAAGATGCCGGAAGCCATGATCTCCGGCACGCCGAAGGTGACATCCGATAAGGCCTCGGCGGCGATGGACTTCATGGGCTGGACAGGCATGGGAACCCCATAAATTGCACCAGTGAGAATGTTGTAGATACCTGTGAAGATCAAGGTGGTGCCAAGGTTGAGGTTCCTAGAAAGTGTTAGAGACAGAACTATTGGTATGTAGGTGCCAAGGTCACCCATGGCACCATTAATTTCAGCCCATTTTGAACGCAAAACCAAGTTGGTTTTCACCTTTTGCACGATCACTTTGGCTGAGAAACCTGTGGTTGGAACGGTTTGGGTTGTTTCAGGGTTTGAGATTGGAATTGAAGAAGGGTTTTCGTTTGCCATGGAATGTGGTTTCTGTGTGAGACTCACACTGGCAGTGAATTGTGTTGGCGGAGTCATTCTTATAGGAGGGAGTGAGTGAGTGCAGTGAAATAAGATTCCATCATTTACAAGTTGAGAAATTATGAGAAGATATTTTCTCCACACTCTTGAGAAATTGTAACAGTGTTTTCTGAAATTACATTGGTTCGTGTGATTTCCATGCACACAAATTGTGGCACAATTACGTATTAAAATCGGTTTCTTATATGCGATTCTCCATGTTTTTCATCTCCAAGAATATGTTGACAAAGAATTTAATAAGATTAAAGATTTTCTATCAACAATAATGTTTAAAGTCGAAGACATGTCAACTCAAAAATAAGAAAAAAAAATATTATATTTATAATTTCCCTATCTAATAAAGTTCCAATAGAGCTATAATGAATCTTCAACAAGGTTTCATTTCACTTTTTTACAAATAAAAACAAAACTTTACATTTCAATATTATATTTTAGTTTTAAGTATTAATGGTATAATGAATGAGATAACATGGGATGTTGAATAATGTAAAATAATATACTAATAATTAAAATTATGTTACTTTTGGGTAAATATATATTTTTTACACAAACAATAATACTGACAGAAACTGAAATTTAGAATTTAGAATTTAGAACATAGATTAGTCAGTGGTAAGACACTAGATTAACTATTTATTTTTAAATTTTATTCCACCATTGAATTATATAAAGTATGTTTTTATAAGTGTGAGTGTGTTATTACTATTTGTTGCGACGGGTTTTGTCAAGGGATTCTTTTAAGTAATGGGGAATTTTAAATTCGGAAGATTAGATTCTTATATTTGCATTTGCATGAATATATATATATATATATATATATATATATATATATATATTTATAAGAATATTTTTATAATCATATAATAATAAAATGGTAAATCTATTTTATATTAATTGTTAAAAATAGAATAAAGTGGACTTATATAGTTTGAAGGAACTAGAAACATTGACTCATCCTAATAAAATAAAAGACTAATAAGTTATTGGATTAATTTGTCAGTTTTTATAAAATAAAAAAAAATATTCTTTAACTATATAAACATTGTTAAATTTTTATTTATTAATTAATATTTTTATTAAATACATAAATTAATAAATTATTATATTTTCGTATTAAAATAATTATAATTAATAATTTAAGTTTAAATTATTTATATATTTTAGTAATTGAATTATAAATTATAAAAAAAATATTACTTTTTATATGAATTATAGATTTAATTTATTATTTGATTTTTGTCTGTTACTATGTTTTCCAGAGTCACCACCCTAAATACTACTGTCTGCAAAATATTTATTCCCAAATGGGTAAATCTTTTTAAAATATTTCGTGTATCGATAAGTTGTATTCTGATATAAGATTTCAATCATCCCTAGCAAGACGACCCCATAACTTTTTTATGGGATAATTTCTTTTAAGTAGTCTTTTAATTTTTTTTTAATTTAAGTCGTGAATTTATTCACGAATTTAATTTAATTTTTTTATATTAAAGTTGGGAATGATAATTTCAGTTTAATTTTTTATGTTGAAGTGTGAATTGACAACTTTAATTCATATATTTTTAAATTAAATTTTTATTTTAAAAATTTTATTTTTTATTTAAAAATTAATAAATAAACAAATATTTATTATTTAAATATTTATAATATTAAATAATTTTTAAATATATTAAATTCTTAAAAAAATATATGAATATGTTAATAAAGAAAATATGCATATATTATATAAAAAAATTAAATTTTATATTTTCATTACCAAAATACATTATTACCATGATGATGACCTTCATTTCAATAAAATGAACAATTTTTTGACTTATTTGAAACATATTCATCCATCTAATTGTGAATGAGATTTGTTGCTTGTTCTTCTCAATGTTTTCGAGATAGACTTGGATTAGGAACAAGTTTTTGATCTAATTAAGGAGATCAATAATTTTCATTTCGAACCATATGAAATTGCATCATAAGTCTTAAATAATAACATGCACGTACCGACACGAGAGGAAGAAAGTTGAAAACATTAAGAATATTCACACTCACACCACTAGTCATTTAATTTGTTTGTATAGTTTATGAGACTTCTACAATGTTGAAAATTTAATATCTTTTAGACATCAAACTCAAAATTTTCTCAATTATTGTTTTGAATAATACTTGCACGTCATTCATTCTCTCATTTTCTCTGAGCAAGTTAACAATATTTTCTGGTTAATGATATCCTACTCGTAAAATGTACTATGTTTTGGTTCCCCATTCAACAAATCACGATTTAGTTCTTTCAAATATAGATTTCACGAGAATACATATGAATAAAGCACATGTTCCCTTCAAAACTGAGTTGATGCACTCAGTTGTTGTCGTATAATTATACTTCTTCCCCTATCATATGTTTGAGTCTACTTAAAAAAAAAAATCATCTAATAAAGAAACTAAACCTCCTAACATTCAATTTAGCTATTACTTTAGGTTATTTTAGATTACCCTTATTAATAACTTGTTGTTTCAACTCTGAATTATATTAGAGGCAAGATGTCAAATATAATTTGTATCTCATCCGAAAACAAAACACAGAAGCAATATTAAAAACAAGTTCACATCATTATTTTTTTATTGTATTTTTTCTACTTAAGTTTTGTATATATTGTATTTTTTTAATGTGTATTTATTTTTACTTAACATATTAATATTTTCTATTCAATAATTTAATATATTTGAAAACTATTTAATATTATTGATGTCCAAATAATAACTAATTTTTTATTTTAATAAATATTAAAATCAAATTTCTACTAAATAAAAATAAAAAATTAATTTAAAATATATAAATTAAAATCGTCAATCAAATAATAACTTCAATAAAAGAGTTTAAATAAAATCATCATTAATTTCAATATTAAAAAATATCCAACTAAAATTGTCATTCAAAGACAATTTCAATAAAATAAAATTCTTCATTGGATGATAACATTTCCCATTCTAACTTTAACATACAAGACTTGCCCGTGTCACATATGGGCCTCAACCCATCACCCCAGCCAAACACATGTCCTTCCTACACACATTCAAAAGTTTCCTTATACATCCTTCTAAATTTCACATATAAATTCTAAAAATAATGCATACATTTATTTATATATATATATATATATATATATATTTATCGTTAGTCATCTTCTTTAAAATAATTTATATACATTTTTCTTTCTCACCCCATGTGTTTTAGAATATAAAATTGTAACATATTAAAGTTTTAAAACAAATTAATACATTACCGATAATAATAATAATTAACTCTAAAAATGTTATTATAATGAATACGAGACTAAAATACTCTCATTTTTATATAGAACATTAGTGTATATAGTAAACCAAAAAACAAATTATCTTTAATCCTACCACTTGATCTCTACCAACACTAAAACGTATTTTAAAAATAAAATTGTAACAGACTAAATTTTCAAAATAATAAACTATAATGATAAACATGAGATGAGATGCCCTCCTTCCAAAAGAAACACATGTTATTTATCACAATAAAAAAAACCCCTTTTTAATTTTTTATTTCATATTCCTATGCCTCTACACTCTTTTCAAACAAAGACTCTCTTAATTTCTTTTAAATTTTGTAAAAGAAAAAAAAGGACATGTTGGGCTCTCTCGTTGTATAATAAGAAAAAAACTAGTTTTGATTAGTTTTAAGAAATGGTTCATGAAAGGAAAAAATGGGAAAGGACAAAGAAAATAAGACTGTTACTAATGGCACATACACATGTTTTGGTTATGGGGCATTGTCATGCCACCACTTATTGTTGGATAAAGGAAGGAACTTGTCAAGATTGATTCATGCCACCACCAAAACATTACCTTTTGGTCTAAAGCCTTTCAAATTAGCTAAGAATCAAAAGTTTTTTTTTTTTTTTTTTCACAATTTTATTTTGTTCTTCTTTGCCCCAACCACTTCAACAATCTTCTATATCAATGAATACAGACGCAAATAAGTCCATATAACCAAAACAATATTTCTCTATATGATTCTATAAACAGCATAAAAATATTTTTTAAATTTTAATTTTCTAAATTTTATTAATAATCATAGGACAAAACTTGTATACAATATCATATATTTAATGTCCTTAATTATAATTAATTTTTCCTTAATAACATATATATTTATATATAAAATTAAATATTATCAAAATAAATATCCATAAAAAAAGAACTAGTAAGCATTATATATGGAAATGTTCCATAATAAGAAAAGAAATATGGAGAAAGAAATAAAAAGAAAAGGAGTACGTTTATTCTGAGAGGAATGTAACATTTAAAAAAAAATTGAAATAATAAATAATTAAATATTAATTATACATATAATTATTAATTAATATTGTATTAATAAAATATATTTTTAAGTTAATATCTTCAAATTAATATATATTTATTTAATAATATCTACTTTGATATATAACTATAAAATATTTTTATTATAAAATTATATCTTTCTAAAATTATTTGAGTTTAAATTAATAAAATAATATTATATTAAAAATATGTATAAAATTATTCATTTGATTTTTTTATAATATTTTCATTTTTATAACATTTTATTAAAATAATAATTGAAATATATATATATATATATATATATTAAACATAATAATAATAATAATTTATTTAAAAAAGGATAATTTTATAAAATAATATATTTTTACTTTTTTCACTCAAAATAAATGTATACATTATAGTAAACGTTGAAATATATTTTTTTATCATTTTCCTTGTTATGAAATAAGAAAAATAACTGTATTACTCACTTTCTACTTCCACATTTCTTATTAACTGTATCAGTGAAACTTGAGCATAAAATCTTAACCCTAATAAGGCTTTAATTAGCAACAACTATTTCCAAAGGGAATAAATGTTGATAAAGGCAATTATCCCTTACAAAGTTGGAACAGAGTCACACCACTATTTATTGTTGGATAAAAAAGACACAT